TGATTTTCAGGGGTTCCCAAATCAGTACACGATAATCAATCAACTAATAGTCAAAAGCGTTTGTGTCCAGTAAGCTTCCCAAAGGTGAGCAACGGTACAGCTGAACCAGTTAAAAGTTGTTTCTATCACAGTAAGATACCACTCACCAACATGGCTATAATCAAAAAGAAATAATACAAGTATTGGCAAGAACGTGGAGAAACTGGGACCCTCGTACACTGCTGGTGGGAATGTAAAATGGTATAACTACTTTGAAAAACAGTCTGGCAGTTCCTCAAAAGGTAAAACGCAGAGTCACCATATGACTGAGAAATATCCAAGAAAAATGAAAACACACATCTACACAAAAACTTATACATGAAAAATAGCAGCATCACTAATAATAGCCAAAAAGTAGAAACAGCTCAAATGTCCATCATATGATGAATGAATAAACAAAATGTGGTAGATCATACAAGTGAATATTAGTAATAAGGTCATATACAAGAGAATATCAGTAACAAAAAGAAATAAACTACTAATATATGCTACAATATGAATGAAACTTGACAATAATAATTTAAAGAAGCCTGTCACAAAAGACTACATATTGTCTGATTCCATTTGTAGGAAAAGTCTGGAATAGGTAAATCTATAGAGACAGAAAGTAAATTAGTGGTTGCCTAGGGATACGGGGGAATGAGAGAATGAGGGCTGATAAAGCACACATGGTTTATTTTGGGAGTAATAAAAATATTCTAAATTGATTGTGATGATAGTTGCACAATTTTTGCATATATACTAAAAACTACTGAAACTAAAACACTTCAAATGGGCTAAATTGTATGGCCTGTGACTTATATCTCAAAGCTGTTATCAAACACACATAAAAGAAATAACTAAGACATTTTTCTTATAAAAGGCAAAAAACTGACAACTAATTTTTACTACAGAAAAGCTACTAAAATATTAGGTTAAAGATTTACAGATAAAAGGAAATATCATAAATAAGAAATCATGACCTCAGTGTAAAAGACACATCCTCTTTTAAAGGGTGCAAATAAAATTCTCCCATGTTAAATACTCAGAAACAGTCAGTGTAAACCAAGCACAATTCAGGTAAAACAACATGCCCACAATTTAAAAATTGTAAACTGCCTTTTATTCAACTATATTTAAACTACACAAAATACTACTCTTTGGAACTTGTTATCTTAATTTAATGTTGTAAAATGACTTGGAAAATTATCTTAATTCTTATATAATAATAAATTTCTAAATTATGATATTATATATGCTACTCTTGAGATAAATGAGAATTACGGTGAGGTACTAGGTGTCCAATCCAAGCAGGTTTAGTAAATCTGATACCCAGGGCATTTTATTATAAGGAAATTTCTCCTGGGAACCAAGTCATCATACCTAAAAACTCTGCTGCTTTGTCAATCTCTTTCTGAATTACTCAAGTAGCTTCTTATGTTAAATATTCTCCATTGGTGAGCTTCTTAAAGCTTAAAAAGAAAAAGTGAAATTCAAAATTCTTAAAATACTGAATCTCAAAGAATACTTGCTGATATCTGAAATTCTTAGAACTGCATTATAAAAATGTGTCTTTGAAGTTGAAGGATGAATTGCTATTTTAGAGAACACGGTAAAAGGAAAGTTTGATTATACTCATTCTCAACCACAAGTAATAGTTTTTGTTTCATCTATGCCTTTGGAGGAAAACTCTAAAAATATTAGAGAGGTATATGTAAAGAAGGTTATTTTCATATAAAAATTAGCTGAAGAAAATACTAGACTGTATGTATACATAATATAAACTTGGGATTCTCCTGCTAAAGAAACAGTAAAACAAAAGGACACAAGACAGTTTTGCTGCACAATTAAAAAAAAAAAAAAAACTGACTGCACTATGTTCAGGTAACCAAGAAGATATAATGAGAATGTAGAGAGTAGACAAAAGCACATTCATGTATCATTAAGGTGGTAATAATGCACAATATTTAAAAAGATAAACAAAAGGCGACATTCCTTACAACATGTGCAGCTAACACATAATGCTTTTAATGAATTAATGAACAGGTATACTCAATATACCTAAACATGTACTGAATTTAAAATAAATGTATGTACACAAACAGACTTAAACTTTTAGAACTTTGTACTACAGTAAATAGATCGATGGATCGATGGATGAGAGAGGGAGAGAAAGGGATGAAATAAAAAGAGTTAACCTCCTGTATCCAGATAGTTTGACTTCACATATGTAAACTCATTTAATCTTTACAGTACTCTATCAGAAAGATGTTAGTCATGCCCCCTTTTAAAAACAAGGAAACTTAGGCACAGGGAAGTTAAGTTACTTGGTCATGGTCATTCGCAAGTGACTGGTGGCATTGGGAATTGAGTGTTGTTTTAAAGTCTATAGCTTTTGCCAAATTTCTGAACCAGAAGTAGTAGATTAGGTAAAAGACAGTTTCATAGTTTCCCCAGTGGTTATTTATTTATTTATTTATTTATTTATTTATTTATTTATTTAATTTAATTTAAGCTGAGCCATCCTGCCATCTGTTGGCAGCTCAGTGGCAGCTCAGCTCGAGCTGGGACTCAAGCTCAGAGCTCGCACTCTTGGGTGAGCTCTTAACCAACTGAGCCACTGGGCCAGCCCCCCAGTGGTCATTCTTTACAGCAGTGATTCTAAGCTGAGGTGGGAAGTTCTATTGGCACATCTAGTGGGTAGAGGTCAGGGGATGCTACTAAAAATCCTACAATGCACAGGACAACCCCCAAACAAATACTCATGTGGCCCAAAATGTCACTAGCATTTGTGGTTGAGAAGCCATGCTTTAGAAAAGTGCATTTCTGCATTTTAAAATCTATTATAATAAACAGAGAAGAAAACATTTCCCAATTTAGCCTGATTAAAAAAATCATTACCAACATTTTTCTCTAGACCTGCTTATTTTAGGCAAGGGAAATGTTATACCGCAAAGTCTAAAAGAAACACAGGAACAGGAAATTACTATTACATGGGAGATTAACCAGGAAATACCACTGGGGATGTGGAAGGGGGCATAATTTCCCCAAACTCCAACAGCTACGTAGTTGTTAACAGAAGAAAGATTATAACAGAAAATGATAAAATTGCTGACTTAAATGTTAACATTACCTTCTGCTAAAACATGTGAACATAACACTTCCTAAGCTCGGTCACAGGCCACTGACTATGTGGCAAACTTGTACAGCAAATAAGTTTTTTGGTTTTTCAGATAATTACATTTTTTTATCAATATTTCAGTCAGTAATCCGTTAAGAACATTTTAAAGCTATATCATTATTCTTCAAAATTCTATTGTAGTATCCCATTATTCAAAACTTTCTTGGTACCTTTAAAATGACATCAATTCACTACTGCCCAAAAGATTTCTCAATATTTACTTCATTTTACAAACAAAAATAAGATCTGATCTTCCTATCACAAAGCTATCTCCTCACATTTTAAGTTTGAAATTTTAATATTTAAGATAATTTCAAGTCTTAATAAAGCCTGCCCCTCAATTTATTAGGCTGACATAAGCCCCAGTCTAAGTTTTCCTTAGACTTATAGAAAGACAAATTTCCTCATAAAAGCCAACTACTTCCACAACTTAACCTGTATCCTTTCTAGTTTACCCTCAATAATCTCAGTATTCTGTATTAGAGAAAACTCTAACCTTAATATTGTTTCCATTCATTAGTTTATTCAAGAAATGTGAGAAGAATGCTGACTGTTGCCAAAGACCAGATTGTTTAACATTTCCACTTTAAAAGCCTGAAAAATTCTCAAGTCATTGTTTTTCCATAGGACAAAGAGAAACAACAATAAATTAAAATGCAGGTAGCTTGAATTTGGTTTCCAAATATAAAGAGGATGCCACTCGATTTCACAGTGAGGAAATACGAGGTTGCCTATATAAGTCCTGAGAAGCAGTATCACCTAGTAGTTAAAAGAGCAATCCCTGGCTTTCAGCTGCTCAGGTCAAAATCTACCCTACAACATGCCACATGCCAGACCCTAAGCAAGTTACTCAACATTTTAAAGCTATTTCTTTGCTTTATAAAAAAGAGGATAATCATGCCTATACCTCGGGACTGTTTTACAAATTAAATGAGAAATAAATGCAAAAGCACTTAGCGAAATATAAGACATATAGTAAGTGCTCAATAATTATTAACTATTGTTATGATGTGAGGACAAAATAATTACTTATATTTGTAATCCAAATTACCACACTGAAATAAGACAAAAATTTTTCAAAAGGATTTCTAAAGCTAATTGGAATTATTTTATTAATTTATCACTAGGATGCGTGTGCTCTAAAAATTTCTGACAGTGTCAAGGCTTAAGGTCCACTTTTACGCCTTTAAAATTAAAAATACCCCCCCACACACACACACACACAAAAGGCATATTAAAGACAAGGATAAAAACAAAGAAAATGTATAGTCTTCCTTGAACTTCCAAATCAAAGCATTCTGTATTTGCTTTATGGAAATTAGAATTTTAACAATGCTTGTAAAGTATAATATAATGACTTCATTTGCAAAATGGGGGAAGAAAGCCAACTTCAAGCTTCTTTATACATAATCCAAAATAAATGAAAATGTAACATACTTTTGAATTACCAGGAGGATAATATATTTTATGAAGTGCTTCTGACATTGAAATATTATATATTTAATATATCTACATAAAAAGAGGACTCAAAGTAAGTCTAATAAAATGTGGTTATGAAAAAAATGGAAATGCAAAGAAGGATGAAATAATCTGGTAAAATGAGTATAGCCATTAAACACTCCCATTCAGACTTTTAAATCTAGACTAACACATGCCACATCATCATCTACTAACGAAATTAGCGCACATATACATTAATTAAACAAGACTGCCCAGCAACACACAGCAATACCAAATGGCCAAGAGAGTGGTAATATTTTGATGCTTTAAAGAAACAAATTTTAAGAAAACAGTTCCTCACCTATTATCAGATGGCAGAAGAGAAAGCAAAGCCAAAGCTGAAAGTTTTCTTCTTTCAGGCTGGGTAATGTTGTCCATGCGATCAACCCACATTTCAATCATATTTCCCAAAAGCTGGTCCATCTGAAAAAAAGACCAGGAGGCATCTCAAAATATGTGACATGTTACTTACCTGTGGATAAGTACTGTTAACGGCTAAAACCTCATAAGGCTGGTTAAAGTTCAATTCCAGCAAACCACAGAATTGGAATATGAGAATGTGGAGCAAGATTTGAACTGGAAAGGAATAATTTCAGCAAACCAGAAATTGACTCCAATTAACCTTAAGAGCCAATTAATTCTGAGAACTAAACAAACTTGTTCAACTCAGGTAGGCTGAGGTGTCCAGCAGCTTGGTCAAATACTAGTCTAGATGTTGCTGTAAATTCATTTTGTAGGTGTGATTAACATTTACCATGATTTTAAGTACAGGAGATTACCCTAAATAATGTGAGCTGGGCTTCATTCAATCGGTTGAAAATCTTAAGAGCAAAAACTAAGGTTTCCAAGAAAAGAAGAAATCCTGCCTCAAGACTATCCACCAATAGATGAATGGATAAAATGAATGTGGTACATATATACTATGAAATATTATTCAGTCATAAAAAAGAATGAAATCTTGTCATTTCCAACAACATGGAAGGACCTAGAGTATTATGTTAAGTGAAAAGTTGGACAGATAGAGACAAATACCATATGATTTCACTTATATGTAGAATCTAAAAAAGCAAAACAAACACAATGAAACAAACTCAGACACAGAGAAAAAAATGATGGCTGCCAGAGGGTGGGGGCTAGGAGCTTGGGAAGAAAACGAAAGGGGATTAAGAAGTACAAATTTCCAGTTATAAGTCACGGGGATAGAATGTACAGCATAGGGAATATAGTCAATAATATCGTAATAACTATGTATGGTGACACATGGTTACTAAATCTATTGTGGAGGTCACTTTGTAGGATGTATTGGGTTGTCGCAAAAGTCATGACACATTTTTGCAAAGAAAAACATAGAAAAATACGTCATCGGAGACACAGAGGAAAAACTGAGGGTTACTAGTTGGAAGAGGGTGGGGATGACGGAGAAGGGACGAGACAATACAAATTGGTAACTACAATAAGGCCTCAGGGATAGAAAAGACAGTCTGGGGAATATAATCAATAATGTAAATGTTTTTTAGGGGGCAGATGGGCTCATGTCTTGTTAGGAAGACCACTTCATAGACGGTGTAGAGGCCTGACCACCACAATGTATTTCTGAAGCTGATGTTGAATAATATTGTATGTCAACTATAATTATACTTACCTATAGTCACGAGATGTGGAGTAGTGTGTGGGAATGGAGTCAATGGAATTGTAATAGATAAGTATGATATCGGGGGTGAGGGGGGACAGTGGATGGGGGAGGGGGGTTACTTTGTGAGGGGTGTAAAGGATAACTATTGCATGGTTCTGTACACCTGAAACTAATAATAAAAAAAAAGAAAAATACATCATGACTTTTCCGACACCCCATACATGATAAATCACTATATTGTACACCTGAAACTAATATAATACATGTCAACTGTAATGAAATATAAATTTAAAAAAAAAGACTAACATAGAAATCCTGAGTTTTCAGCCTGCCCTACAACATCAGAACTTACCAGTCCCTAAAATCATGTGAGCCAATTACTTAACATTGCTCATGTGTGTGCGTGCGTGTGTAGACACATGCACGCGCGCGCACACACACACACACACACATTCTCTCTCTCTCTCTTCACACACATGTGCGTGAACACACACAAATTGGTTCTATTTTTTTAGAGAACCGTTTGAAACCTACAAAGTAAGACACAACCAAGTGTGCTGATTATGTAAATTGAAAGTGGATCTCAGGGTCTACTTATAAACACTTCTCCACTTTTAGCACTTTTTAAAAATGCATTTAATATCAAAATCTCTACCTCATGGATTTGGTAACATCAAATCAACCTTAAGTTCCCACACTTTTCTACTTTTTTACTTCTACATTTTTTTCAGAAATGCTTCCACACATTTTATAAAATACTAAAAAGTCAAGAAAACACTTATTAGTTCAAGACAACCCTTTATAGTTGAGTTCCCAAAACTGTGTGCTGTATCCTAAGATGCCACAGTGAACTTACAGAATATTTAAAATTGAAACAGAGACGTCAGATACTGTAAGAACTACTAGTTCAAGATAGTTCCCAGTTTTAACATTACTCTCTTTTCAAATGCCTCATCTCTGCAAAGTCCTTCCCCCATATCCAACAGAGCAGAAAATGACGGTGGAGGTGTCCAGTCTGATTCCAAGGTTTGAAAATGTGGGGTAGTGCCCAGTAGGCATTCATAGTCCATTAGACAGTTTAACTGTGTTTATTCAAGAATGAAATAAAGGTGTTATTCTTTCTTTAGGCTTTTGTGTATTATTTTTCAATAGCTATTAAGTTATTAGGACATAAATACACATTAAGTTGTTTGGAACTAACTACTTAAAAAAAGGAACTGTTAGATACTTATATTTCTTTTGGCATAGGAGCACTTTGAAAATATTATTAACACATTAAAAACACCACAAACCAAGACAGTTGGGTAACTTCTGATTTATACCAGAGCGTCTTCAATTCATATTTAGTTTGGAATCAACTGGTACAGTTGTCCTATAGTCTTACTGTAATTAATATCGAGAAAGCAAGATTTGAAAAACAAATTAGCATCATTATAAAAGCAAATACCAAGTTATCATTAAAATGCAATATATACAACTGAAGCTATAGTAATATATCTGGATGAAACGATGCAATAGCAAAGAGATATCTCTATAATCTTATTTTTTTATAACTTACATTTATTTCCTTTATTATAAAAATATTTAACAACAGTGAGTTTGTGGGGACTTTAATTTAACAAGCAAAGAGAATATGAGGGGTCAGCAACTTTTTTCTGTAAAGGACCAAATAGTAAATATCTAAAGCTTTGTGGGTCATATGGTTTCAGTTGCAACTATTCAATTCCCCAAATCAGCCATAAATAATATGCAAACAAATGGGCATGAATGTATTCCAATATAAAAATTCATATAACTTTCACGTGTCACAAAATAATACTATTATTTTTATTTTTTCAAATATTAAAAAATTGTAAAAACCATTCTTAACTCATAGGCTTTACAGACACAATCAGCAGGCTGGATCTGACCCAGAGGCTATAGTAGGCTGACCCTGGGAATATGTAAGCAGGGACAGAGCTAAGGAGCAAATTTCCCTGATAAACGCATAGTTTCCAATATTCTAGAATACCTGAAACAGATCTAACTGAAGCTTTGTGGCCTGGGGCAAAATTACCCAGGAGTTTATTTTTAAGGTAGAATCAAAACTGATTAGGAATCAACTGAAGGAATGGTGAGGGATTGGGAGGGAGTGTTCTAGGGGAGAGGGATAACAGCCTGTATGCAAGGACTCTGACGCAGGGAGAAAGGTGTTTCCAAGAAACTGAAAAATGTTCTGAGCAGTGAATGGCTGGATCATGGAATTCTAAAAGGAGGCTAAGAGATAAGGCTAAAGTATAGAAAAACCATATTACGGTGGGCCTTTGTAGGCAAACCTACATTAGAGAGTTTGAACTTAATCCTAAGTGTAAGAAAGACACTGAAGAGATTTGAAACAAGGAAATGATAAAATCATATGTATACATTAAAAATTCAACTTGGTTGCTCTGAAGTAAATAGTCATTAAGTTTGAAAAATAGAAACAGGACAACAGGAACAAATGTTGATGATCATTTATAGCAAATCATGAAGCTACAAAAAAATTAGGCATTATTTTCAGAGAATTAATTTCTAAAATCAAGGTATTTCTTAAAAATATAATTAAAAGTTGATGGGGTTTCTTTACTTTGATAATGTTCGTCAAGTTCTACCCAGGCAGGTACAGATACAAACTGATCATGCTGATACCAATTAAATAAATATCTACTATAGAAAGAAAGAACTTTATTTCCAACTGGTTCCACCACTCTGTTATAACTTTAAAGAACGTAACTTATAAATATGTCTTCTATAAGAATAATTTTATAGCATATAACTCCTGCAGAAGTAGAATAAAATGTTTAGGTAAATGATGATCTTTCTTCTCTCTAAATGTTATCTTTTTGGTCTACTTGTTCAATATACAAAAATCAATTTTCATTTCTTTTCATTACCAGTGAACAACTGGTAACTGAAATTCTCAAAACACCATTTATAATAGCATTAAAACCTAGAAATATCTAGGATAAATTTAACGAAATACATGCAAGATATGTACAATGAAAACTACAAAACATTGCTTGAGAACACTAAAAAAAAAAATCTCACTAAATGTATATCCATGTTTATGGATACAAAGATTTGATATTGCTAAGATTAAAATTCTCCCTAAATTAATCGATAAAATCAACATAAACTCATTCAATATCCCAGCAGGTTTTTTGAGGTTTTTTTCTTTTGGTAAAAGTTGGCAGTCCAATTCTAATACTGATATAGAAATGTAATGGATCTAGAATAGCCAAACTTATTTTATACAAGAACAAAGTTGGAGGATATATACTATCTGATTTCAAGACCTATAATAATGCTATACTAACCCGGAAAGTGTGATAGCATAAAAATAAACATGTATATCAATGAAATGGAGCTGAAAAACAGATGCACACATAAACTGGTCAATTTATAAACTGGTCAATTTATTTTTGACAAAAGAACCAAGGAAAGTTGATGGGTAAAAGTCATAGGTAAATTATGCTAGAATAACCTATAACACACAAAAGTATATATGTACATGTGCATATGTGCACACATATGTATTTATATATGTGTATATGTATATGTCATACACCTTGTACAATGTAAGTTATTAAAAGTTTAAAATATAAAAATTTAAATACCATAGACTTTTATAAAATCATTATTTCACCAAATTATTTCCCATCTTTATCTGAATAAAGACCTCCTTCGATGTCAGTGAACTAATTCTTACCTCCTGATTAAATTTATGTGCCATCTCAGTAAGGAGTGAGGAGAAGAAACTGGTGTTTTGCAGCAGGACCCGACCCATGACGCCAAGATATGTCGACATCACTACAGGATACCTCTGCACAAATAAAATACAGCATGTGGAAAACTGCATTACAGGACGAGTGTCAACAATTATAAACAATCACTGACACAGTAACAGTAGAGACATGAAATAGCAATATTCTCTTTCATGCTGCTTCTGTAATAGAGAAGAACAGAGAAAGAATTTTGCCAACAGCATTTTTATGTTACTTTAAATGCTCCTAACTTACATAGTTACATGGATCTATTTAAGAGCTAGACTTAGAACATAATTGGTGTTTTTATATATTCAGTACGTAACAAAACTAGCCCTATTTTTTTCCCATTTCTCTCCTTCAAATCTCAGTGAATGAATACACAGGCTATATCAAAGAGATGATATATCAGAGGAAATCAACACTTTCCCATGTGGACCACTAAAAAAGCAAAGCTGTATGGCTACCTGAAATTTACTTAATTTACTTCAAAATAGTCAAATATTTTAAAAATCTTTCCTTTTATATCTAACAATGAAGACATAATTTTCCAGTGAGAAGGAGAATAAAACTATTATAGAACCCTAGAGTCCAATACTGTCCTTAGAAGCTTAAGAAAAATCTTACCTCCCCTTCTATAATACCTCTGAAAACACAGGGTAGAATCGGCTGAAACATTTGCGGGCCTAATACTGGGTTCACTTTAAGGGCATTTTCCACAACCTAAAATCCAGAAAGACACACTGGTAATACTTAATAATGCAAGTCATTGCTTCAGGCAAAACACAGGTAAAGAAAACAATGTATTAAATATTCCATACCAAATCTGAGATACAAGTAACTATATGAGGTATTCGATATTCACTTTTACAACACAATCCACTAAACAGTGCAATTTGATATAAAGTATATAATATTTAGGCACAGCTATACACCTTACATAGAACTGTAATTAATCACATACTGATAATGTAGGTATCATGTTAATGTAATTCTTATGTCTGCATTTTAAACAAATAACCCTTAGAAAGTGTTGCACTAATAGAGGCAGCAAAAGGCATTTCAGAAGTATTGGCTTTTAATAGTGAAAGGAAAAGTTAGTAACAACTGTACACAATGTCCAAAAATAAATCTACATTTAAATTTATTAAAAAATTGGACAGAAAAGGGCATGTTGCATATATCCTGTATATTCACTAAGTGAAAAATGATTTTATTTCCTTTATAATATAATATAGATTATTAACCATGAGCATTGATTGTTACAGGTGAAAATCATGAAATGTAAATTACTTTTATATGATTAAGATGGGTTCCCTCTATAACAAAGATACCATAAAATTCAAAGTGGGGTGTGTGACTTTCTGTTTATTTTTTATTTTATGTTTTAGGAAGTGAGGAAGGCAGTGGTCAGGAAGCAGCAATGAGGACCAAGAAGGATCTTACACACTTCCAGCCCCACTGCTCAAGGAGTAGGAATGAAAACAGATACCATGTGAGAGAATTGTGGGCAAGTACCAGTCTCAAGGTAGAGCCAGGTTTCTCTTAAAACTTCAAACAATGTTTCTCAAGATTGACTATTGGCATTCCAAGTGGGACAAGTGTTTACCATGCAGACTATTCCATGCAACATGGGGCTTTTAGTATCTCCAGTCTCTAGTCACTATATGCCAATAGCATGCTCCAATCACGATGACAATCAAATACACTTCCATGCATTTCGAAACATTCTCAAGGTAAGCAAACAGTACCCAGGAATGATGCTTTCTAATTGTGAGCAAGAAGTAAAGGGGATGTCCAAAGTTTAAAAATATAAAACCTTTCACTGTGGGTCAAACACTATACTATCTACTAAGAGATATAGAATATAATAAAAGATCACAGTTCCTGATTAAAAGCAACAGGAGATGCGATTCAGAACATAATTAAATCTGACCTCAATAAAGCTTATTTTGTTAAAAAATTGGATTTGGAATAGAGATGGTAAGGCATTTGGAATAAAGGTGGGGATGTCGATAAGGTAATGGACTGAGACAGTCTCAGAGGTAGATGTCACCAGAAAAATTCTATTTTATCTATGAATGTAAGGCCATCTGCTGATGTTTAGATACAAATTTAACTTCAATGTCTCCTGAAACCCCACTAAAATTATAGTAGAAGGACTTTAAAGGGAAGAGGACATAATTTCAAAGGGATAAAGAAAACGAGAGATGAATATAGAAGATACGAAGAACTTCAAGGGGTAACTGACTTAATCAGATCAGAGAAATTGAAGCCTAAGGTTGCAATGGAGAAAGCTGAGAAGCAACTCGATTTACATCATATTTCTCCCTCTCTGTCCCCACCAAGAAACAGAGATTAGCACAATATACCTTTGTAAAGGAGAGTAAAGGAAAAGCTAAAAATAAGACTGACTGAAAGCCTATTTAAGAAACAGATTTCCAGAAATTCCCAAATTTGCAAATCTGAGCAATTGGCCTTCCCCGACCCCAGGAGAAGGATGTATTTTCTTTTTTAAAGATTTTTTTTTTAATTTTTTATTGGGGAATTGGAGGGGAACAGCATTGGGGAATCAGGGAAGGAGAACAGACAGGTAGACAAATTGCTGTTTTGTTCTTTAGTCTAGTTGTAGAGGACATCGCTTCACTGGCCCATGTCGGTAGGATCATTGCGCTCTTCCCGGGTGAGGCAATCGGTTGCCGGTCATTGGTCGGCCACTCACAGCGGCTCACGGCAGCTCTCGCTGGCTGCCGGCTGCTCACGCTGGCTGCCAGCCACTCACGTAGCTCACTGCAGCCCACTGCAGCTCCGCTGCAGCTCCTCTGCAGCCTATGCCATCGCCAGCAACTCACAGCAGCCCAGCTCCAGGTCGAGCTGTTCATCATCTTAGCTGTAGAGGGCGCAGCGTCACTGGCCCTTAATGTGGGATCCGAACCACGGCCCTGCTGCTCAGAGCTGGTGCTCCCAAGCGAGCTCTTAACCAACTGAGCCACTCGGCCGGCCCTGTATTTTCTTTAAAGGGTCTACAAGAAAGAATTTCCAGAATAAAAGGACCCGGCGGTGCTAATATAATTAGTTAAAATATACCTACATCAGGCACATCATTGTAAAGTTTCAGGACACTAGGAACAAGAAAAACAAGCTACAAGCTTGGGGAGGAGGAGCACTGAGACGGAGTCAGCATGGCTCTGGAAGACTTCGAGAAAATTAAATAAAATACCTGATGGGTCAATATGTCTGAACATATTGGGCACAGACAACTTGCAGAGAATTTAGTGCACATAAAAATTTACATCAGAAAACGTTAACTCCACGGATTACAAAAGTTTGGGCAGAAAAGAAATAATCACATATTTAGATCACTATGACATTTAAAATATAAGTTCGTTCAATACTAACCCACTAACCAGCTCTCCATCACTGCGTTTTCTTTATATATAAAGGTATAGTTACTATTGCACAAAGGATCCACAATATTTCAGGGCTAAAATGGAGTCTTTGTATTCAAAAAGGTTAGGAACCATAGCTAGGAAAGATAAGATTGTTTCTGAAAGATTATGCAAGAAAATGCATTATCAGACTCTGGAGGCAGGGGTTGTGGAAAAAGATCAAGAGACATTTCAAGAAGTAGAACTGATAAATAGAAAACAAACAGAACTGTTGACCAAAGGTGAAAAGTCTGGGATTACTCCTAGTTTTCATGTTTGGTCAATGGGTATAAATTATGGTGCCATTAATAACAATGACGTTTGGTTTTGGACATGTTGAACTTGAGGTACCTATGGGAAATCCACATAAAATGGTCCTATATTTTCACACACATAACACTATACAGCCACTTTCCAAGGAAGATGCTGAAGTTGTGACTTAGAAGCCAGAGTTCACAAATGGCAGTATTTCATCTTTTCTTATGGCAGTTTCCACTGCGACAACATGGATGGACCTTGAGATTATTATGCTAAGCAAAATAAATCAGACAGAAAAAGTCAAGAACCATATGACTTCATTCATTTGTGGGATATAAAACTGAAAGCAACAAAGGAACAAGACAAACAAATAAGGAAACAAAAACTCATAGACACAGACAACAGTTTAGTAGTTACTAGCTAGAGTATAAGTAGGTACTGGTAGATGAGGGTCAAGAGGGTCAAACATATGGTGATGAAAGGAGAACTGATTCTGGGTGGTGAACATATAACGTGATATATAGATGATGTACTAAAGAATTGTACACTTAAAACCTATGTAATTCTACTAACCATTGTCAGCCCAATAAATTTCAATGAAAAAAAAGCCGGAGTTCAAATTACAATTATTTCTATAGTGAGGAAGGTTCTTCGATAATGATCAAAATCCTACTGAATATTTTGATCAGCAGCATAGTTTCACTTCTAAATAAAATTTTGAAAAATGTATCCATGATTTCCGTGGTAATAAACGATTCTGTATATTTTAAGTGAAATGCATGTACATCCAGATTGCCAAACAACTCCAAGAAGGAAATAACACTAACGACAACTAAAGCAATAGAGACTGTGTTTCCTCAAAAATAAGACCTCGCAGGGGAATAAGCCATAGGTAGCTTGACTGCTCCAGGATATGCAGGGCACGCACCCCTCACATGAGGTTTTATGACCTCTTGCAGGGAGAAAGATGCCTTTTCCACAAACTCCTTCAGCTTAAAATATTCAGTATGCCAGGGTGCCACATTTTGGCACCTAAAATCATGCTACAGCTTATTTTCTGGCTAGGTCTTATTTTCGGGGAAACAAGGTAGATACAAGTAAGGCGATTTACAGAGGTTAACAGAATTTAAATCATAACTCACTCTTCTTGGCAAGCATCATTCCATTCTCAGGGATTTTAGCATGTTTGCTGTGTTTTATTTGATCCACTTAGTTTAGTTTTGTTTGGATGCTCAAACTGTCCTATCATTAGCCAGTGGGAGCACCTTCAAGTTAATTCCTGCACCTTTGACAGAATCCAAGCTTCTCTTGCCTCTGGCACAGAGCTTCCCAGGTTCTTTTGTGTATCCCTTGCCTGTGCCCTGGAGTCAACCAGCAAGACACAATATTTACAGAGCACAATCTAGGCCCTGGGGTGCTCCTTGCCAGTTGATTTAAACTGCTTTTAGGTCTTTGCTTAGATAGCATCAGGAAACTTCTCTTTCTAAAAAGCATATACCATAAATTCACCAAACCAATAAAAAATTATATAATTTTACATAACTTTGATTTTATATTTCCATCTTTCTTCTCTTATATTGAAAAAGGCCAAATTCTAATAACCTTATTTGCTTCTATTATATAAATAAATGTATTTATTTATATATACATATATATATGGTTTCAAAATAACAATACCAAAATTACTATTACAACAATAATAATACAGCTGAATGCAATTTATAATTTCCTTGTATTTATTTGTATTCTAATGTTATATCCCACCAGGGATATACATGTGAAATACTATATATTAAAATTACTCGAAATATTCTCAGATTCTACACTTCTACATAATAATATTCAAACGTTTCAGCTTGTTTTTTTATCTTTAGGAATTGCTTTTAATTTATTTTAAGTCATGCAGAACATCCACATGACTCCAAAACCAAAAGTACAAAACTGATACACATCCTGAAAAATCTAGCTTCCATCCTCTCTCCCTCTTCCCCCTCCCCACATAACCACTTTTATTAGTTTGAGTATTTTTCCATTGTT